AGTGAAAACAGCGATAGCTCATCGATGGACAGTGATTAGGTAAGACCAATGTTTTTAACTGAAAAGTACTCTCCATCTCCTCCCCACTCTCTGCACTTTTCCCGTATCCCCACTCTACCCCCTCTCCGTCGCTCACTGATTGCCACAGAGTAATCGCATGACGTCACAGAGCCGGAGAACTCTGAACTCTACTGTACTACTCCTACTATACTACTCCTACTATACTACTCCTACTATACTACTCCTACTATACTACTCCTACAGGAGGGGAACTGTAGAAATATCTTTGAAAGACACCTCGGAGGGACCGCTCTCCTCGGTAGTGTGAGATTTTTACCCACTAAAACCACAAACCCTTTATGGTCCTTGACTTTACCACTCCGGAACCGCTCGCATTACTTCAGGGTGGAGTCCAGCTGGCTACCTTGCGATTAGTTCCCGGTTTGTCTGTGTCTTTGTCATTAATGTTATAATGTTGTCCGAGGTTAATGGGCTGTCGAGCTTTGTGGTGACGTCGATCCTTTTATTAGCCCATGTTGGGCAGTTGAAGAAGGGGTGTTCTGCGTCGTCGTTATTGTAGCCACAGTAGTCATAGTCTTCTTTTCCAAATCTTTTTAAATAAGATTTGAAAGATCCATGACCTGTAAAAGCTTGAGTTAGATGGTAGGAAACAGAGCCGTTCTTTCTTAATACCCATTTCGAAAGGTTTGGCATCAGTTTGTACGTCCATCTGCTTGTTACGTCTTCCTGCCAGGAATTTGGCCATTGGTCCATTAGTTTTTTTTTGAGCTTCTTTCTTAATGACTGCGCGTTAGCTGCGTCTGAATTGTCGCAGTATAATTAAATCGTACACCTCCTTACGTTCCAGTGCTAAGAGACTATTGGGCGGGACACTAGCTAGCACCAACACCGCGCTTTTCGAGACAGTCCTGTAGGCCGAAGTGATTCTTAGAGCATCCTTCCTTTGAACTGCTTCCAGTTTCGTCCGAAGATTTTTGTTTTTGGCTACTTTTACAGCCCAAACAGGTGCCGCGTACAGCAGTTTTGCGTGCATGACAGTCACGAGTATTCTTCTTTTGCATTCACTCGGTCCTCTTACATTTGGCATGAGCCTCGAAAGTGCAGATGCCGTTCCCTGGGCTCATTCGGCTGCCGCGATTACCTGTGGACCAAAGCTGAGCTTGTTGTCTATGTTCATTCCCAGGTAATGGAGGGATTTCTGGCAGGGTATGTTTTGTCTTCCAATTTTGAATTTTGGGGGGATAAATGATCTTCTGTCTGTAACTAAGACTGCTTCTGTCTTGCAGACAGCCATTTCCAAGTCTTTCTCCGCCAACCATGCTTGGACGCGTTCTAAGCTGTCATTTACACTAATTTCTAGAACACTGGTGGAGTTTGCCGATGCTACGATGATAGAATCATCTGCAAAACCGACCAGTATGACGTTCGTGGGCAGAGGAATTTGTAACAGGCTGCCGTACCGTATATTCCACATTAGTGGTTCAAATTTCGAGCCTTGGGGTGCACAGCAGGTCATTTTGTGTATAAGTGTTTTTTCCTTACTTTTGTATTCTACTGTTCGACCGCTGAGGTAGCTTCGAACTATGTCAAGGATGTACCCGGGGGTCTTTTTATCCTCTAGGGCGGAGAATATGTCGTCCCACTTTGCTGTGTTAAATGCATTTTTAAATGCATGTTTAATGCTGACTAACGCGCAGAAGCCTTTTTTCTTTAGTTTTTTCTGCAGTTTCCACAACCAGTTTGATGGCGTCTACTGTGGATCTGCGTCTTCGGAAGCAAAACTGTCTGTCTGAAAGTAATTCTGTTTGAATCCAGTTGTGTTTGGATTCTTTCCATAATTAATCCTTCTAAAATTTTCCCCATTGTATCAAGTAGACTTATGGGTCTATATGACGAGGGTTCATTCAGGGGCCTGTTCCCTTTTCTAATAAGGATTAATTTTTGGATCTTCTAATGATAAAAAAGACTTTGTTTTCAAGGCAATTGTTGTACATACTGTACTGTTTAGCTGTTACAGTTTTTTGGGCATTGCAATGTTGCATGCTTCTTTGATGGTTTGTATAACATTCTTAGCATGTGTTTTCAGAGTTTCTTCTTTCTTGGTCCACTTCATTTCGTTGAGAATCTTCCTTTCATCCAGAAATGCAATCATTGCCCTATCGTGATGGCGACGGCGACGGCGACGGCGACGGCGACGGCGACGGCGACGGCGACGGCGATGGGGTCACATCCATGCGTTCAAGGAAGCACCGATGATTTTAAGAAGGTAACGTGCTATACATCTGTCCTTCAAATCTCTCATTTTTGCAGAACAAGACGCGCTGTTGAATGCGGTTTTTACAGCCAGAAGTATTAATGCACTTAGCAGGCCTTTGTCGTTAGCCTACTATTTGAGAGAATAATTTTTTACTATTTGAGAGAATGAGCCATGTCTTTAAACCTCCCTTCGCCGAGGTCTGGAATTTTTAAGTCGCGGTTCGATCAGCGACCTTGAAAATTCGACATAGTCGCGTCTTATCAAGTGAAACTGCGATTTCGAACTATGGTTCGAAAAATCCGCGGCTCAGACCTCGTCTTAGAAATCCACTCTCAGTGAAAGCGAGCACCCCTCCAATCAATCTTCTCGCTCAAGAACGTCAAGACATTTGGCTTATACAAAACGACAAAAACAGAAACGAAGCAAGAAGGTAGCACGCCAACTACTATTGCAAATATGGCAACGAAGATGGGAAGAATGCAATTCCGAAAAATGGACCTAGAGATTGATCCCCCGAGTGGACTCATGCGTAAAGCATGACGAGGTCCTCTACAACCTTACTTAGCTCCTTAGCAGACATGAATGCTTTAGATAATGCCTTTGTACAATCGTACACAATGGTTTTTAGGTTTGCTCTTTTGAGACTTGTCTCTCTAGTGTCTACTTGCAATGATGCTCTTATATTGGCCAATAAACAGTGGAAATATTACTTCTGATTAATAACTTATTTAGGCATGCAGTTCTTGAAAGATAATGTTCTTTTAGCAAGAAACCTAGAGATCTTGAATTTGATGAAACAATCAAATAACGTTATGAAATTGATTACATGTCTGTTAGAGGTTATAGTTTGGATGAGTAGTAAAGTTGATAATATCAAGAGATGTTATGCAGTTGCAAGCAGAACTATGCATCATTTCATCCATAAGAATGAAAACTATACTAGGAAGAATTTGTGATAAGTACGAGTGTGTATGTGTGTGTGTGTGTGTGTGTGTGTGTGTGTGTTGAAAACAGAGCAATGGTTTAAGTGATACGAACACTAGCTGCCTAAAAATAAGAGGAAAACGTTTAAATCCATATTATATATGGCAGTGATTGACAGAATTTTTGTCTGAATGTTACAAAAATTGTCTGTCCAGAGAATGGTCACGCAAAACGCATTAAAAAATACCCAGAAGATGTTTCCCTGAAATCTGAATGCAGGCCTAAGAACTCCACTCATGGTGTTCAAGATATTTCTGTATTATGTCATGGAAATAGTGGTAGGACAAAGAAAAGGATTATTTTCTAACGGGCCACAAAACAAGATCATTACTTTCAAGAGATTTAAAATACAGTAATACCTTTAGAAACTATGGAAAGTCAGAAGTAAGAAACTGATAATTCATAAGAATTAATCACAAACCATGGTCTCAACAGGAAAAATGCTACTAAACATTTGAAAAATAAATAGACTGCTAACAGTCCCAAAATTAACTAATTAATAGCTTTTGCATTCATAAAAAGTAAACCTAGATTAATAGAGAATGATTACAAAACATCACAAATAATTAGATTATTTTGTACATTTTTGGGGCACTGAAACAACTGCAGAAGCCTGGAGGGCAAACTAGAATCACCACTGCCTTGAAATAATGGTAACGCGGTTCTTGGGCAGTACCACGTCGATTGGAAAATGGGTTTGAGCGTTTAGTGAGTAGGAGTCTCATATTACTTCGGGAGCCTCCCAAGTGTTCATGATGGATTCGAACAGTTCCCCTCGAAAAAAAAAAGAAAAACTACTACTACTACTACTACTACTACTACTAGTGCCGCTACTGCCGCCGCTATTGCCGCCGCTACTGCCGACGCTACTGCCGACGCTACC